TTTTTTGGGTACAATCCTTCAATAAATTCAGCGGTCCAGTGAGCTGAGAATATTCTAATTGGTAATTTAACTGTGAAAAAAGTTAAAATAATTTAGTTAGTATAAGCTCGTGTTGGTGTAAATACAAATCAGATTTTTAGTTGGGCTCGTTTGATTCTCATTATTGTAAAATGAAAATAAAAAATATAGTCGTTATTGGACCCCACACAAGAGATATAAATTCAAAATTGATGGCTTGATGTGATGGATAACAGTTATATTTTTCATTTTTATGAATGAAAAATGAGAAATAAACAGAGGCTAAATTTTGATAAAAGTAAATGTAATGTGTGGTTTAAAAATTATGAATTTTATGAAATGTGTGATTCGACTAGATACTTAGAATTTCATTATTGTAAACCATATTTCTAGTTATTACTTACAAAACCATTGTTTGGTTAAAAAAAAATAAAATAATTAAGTCAATTTCAAGAAATAATTTCTAACCACATATTTTATGGAATTCATAACTTTTATCAACTTTTTAATTACGTATTTAATTAACTTTTATCAAAATCTATTAAAAATTTTCGTTCTCTTTGTGTTTTGAGTTTTGTGTTTTGAGTGTTCATTTTGAGATTGTTGAAAATGTATTCTTTTTGATATTTTGAAAAATTGTTTTGAAAATACCCAAAACGCGTTTTGAAAAATTTGACTTGATTATAACGGAAAACACCAAAAACGACAAATTTCGTTTGAGTTTTTTTTGTAAATTTTTAACTTATTTTCAAAAACGCATTTTCGAAAATAGGAAAGAGAACGCGTTTTCATTGTTTTGAAAAATCGAAAATAGAAAACGACTTGAAAACGGTAAAAACAACCGGCCATTAATTTTTAGCAAAAACCAAGCAGGAGATGAAGAAAACTAAACATTGTTGGTTAGTGAGGGGTTCATTTGGTTTGGAGCTCTTATCCGATATCACAATTTGTGATCCTAAATGTTAATCGCATTTTTAGTCTTTCACATTTTATTAATTACTAAATTTTGTCCAAATGCAATTTTTTTATTTAAAAATTCGGTTAGCGTTCCCTGTTTGACAAATATTATTTGAATTTTTTACATACTCATTTTTACCAATGCATTCACATAATAAAATATTTTGCATACGTAAATTTAAAAATTTTTTCTACAAATTCTCCTAAAAATCACTATTCAAAATATTATACCATCAAATAGAGGCTGAAAAAGAATGACAAATATTTACTCCCAATTTTGAATATGTATTTATTTATTTTTGCTTATTTTAGAATACGAGAAGTAAATAAGTTTTTTATTTACTTCGTGAAGTAAAAAAAATACAAAATTACCACCATATTTGATTCACATTCTTAAAAAAATGCGTTTTTTCAATTATACAATTTTCAACAAAATAATATTACACGTAAATTAAAAACTTTTCATTCCTTGTTAACCAAATATTTAATGCTACATTGACGTCATATAAACTGTGTTTTCATCCCCATTGGAGATGAATAGCATTACTCCATCAAATAAGGGCTAAATTTGCAATTTTTTTTTTGTGATACACGTGTCATTCAAACAAGCCCGAATGCAGAAATGAAAAATATTACGACCATACCACATACATTTGAAAAATGCCGTGAGTGAATTTTACTCACATGGCCATGTGAGTAAAAATTTGATTTTTCTACCCACCCCCGCACTCCCTCCTGATGTCTATACTCTATAGGTAGATGAATAGCACCTGAAGAATCAGCACAGTATCTACTCCAATATCTGATATATAAAATTCCGAGGCGGCGGTTTATTTCTTCACACCTAAACTCTCTCTCGGTAAAGTGAAAATTTTAAGAAATGCCTGTGGTTCAGACGATTTTTCTTCAGTTTCCGCCGGCTGCAATTTCACCTTTTTTATCATGTTCAATTCCTGCGAGTAACAATATCCCCGTGAAATTTACCGTTTCGTGCTGCTCGTTAGCATCGCCAGTTACTGTGGTAAATGGAAATGTAGAGAAAATGCCGTCTGAGAGAAATGAAGTTCGGCTTGGCTTGCCAAGTAAAGGTCGAATGGCTATAGACACTCTTGATCTTCTCAAGGTAGTTTTTTACATATATGCTTCCTTGTATAGAGACATTATCTCATGTCTGATTATACACAATGGCAGATTTGTAATTTTAGTTACGGTTTATGTTAAGTAATTTGTTTTGGGTTTTGGGGTGTTTTGTAGGATTGTCAATTGTCAGTCAAGCAGGTGAATCCGCGGCAGTATGTTGCAGAAATTCCTCAGGTGCGTTCAATTTTATTGTAATCAATTTCTGCATATTGAGCTTGTATAATTGGTAGTCTTGGTGGTATTGTATCCAGCAAAAGGAAAATTATTTTATTCCTTGTGATTTCTGTTGACCCCTAAAAAAGCCAACAGGATCCCGGGCCCCACTCGTCTCCGCGCAGGATAAGCAACGAATGCCTAGTGTTCTCGAGACACAAGCCAAACAAATGTTCGAACACAGGGGTGAACCAATCAAAAGCCATTGTATTTATCAATAATCATCTCTTAAATTTATATGATTTAATTATTGAAGAACAAATAAATTCCAAGCAAAAGAGATAGAGATAGAGCAGTGATTTTGAGTATTCCGAGTTGCATTAGCTTCAAAGTGTTACAAGGGTTGGTATTTATAGTGTTACAATTGTGGCCTTGGCCGTTGGATGAAGCAAACATGGCTTCATCCGACTCACTAGGATGTCCTATCGTAGCGTCCCATCATCCACTTGTCATAGGTTACACTCGAGTGTATGGGGAAGAGGAGTCGCTCTTTGGAGCGTGTCAGTGTACATAATCAATCTGGCTGACACGATTTGACTTAATTGGACCACAAGTTGTCACATCAATCATTTGCCAGATATTATGATCTTCTTGGGAATCGCTCCTAGTCCAAAGCCCTTTGGAGGGAGGGAGTTTGGGATAGAGAGCTTTGGTTATTGAGTGGGCTTCGGTCTGTTGACTTTGGTTAACCTTTGACTTTCCTTTTGACCCATGCCTCTACGTGTTTGTCGCATATGCTTGGACTAAAGCCTCGGTGGCAAGGCGTAACAATTTCCATCTATATATTTGTTGTTCATTTTTCGTTTTAGCTATCAATAATGTATTATACTAGTGTAAACTCCCGGTTGTTTTATGACATTTTGGTACAAATTTGTTATAGAGGCATTATATTAGATTGAGAATGTCAAATTTACGTGTGGCGGTTTCAACCAAATTTTAATTGGGGTTGGACAGACATGGATGGAAGGTTAATCATGCCGTTTATATTAAGTTATAAATACCATTTTTATTGCCATTCTTTGATCGTGGAACAACATTTTTACTTCTCACAAGGACATTTTACAGCCTTTTGATTTGATAGTGTAATTCTCAAGCAAATTGCAAATGATTATATCTTTTTTCCTTTCTCTTAGATCCAGTTCATTCTTTGTAGGTTGTATGGCTATTATATATAGCTTCTCACTCTTGCATTTTACATGTCCTTTTTGCCCTTCGTGCATTATTCAGAGATTCTTACACATGGATTGAAAAAAAATAGAATATAATACATAATGGGAAAGAATATGAGGTTGTGAATTCCTGTACAACAATGAGAACCCCTCGCTTTACTAGTTCTACCTTTTCCTCAGGGAATAGCTAGTGATAGGACAAAACACTAGAAGATAAACACGTGTTTTGAATTTATAGGGGCGGTATATGCAACTATTATAACTAGTACACAATTTAAAGTTTTGCTTAGTAATGTAGCCCTAGCCAGAGCCGAGAAATTGACTATAACACAGAACACAATCAAATATCTGATGATTCTTCACAAGAATACTGAATCGTTGACAATCAAGACTCGTTGATTTGTGCATGAATATTGAAAATTGGTTCTTCATCAACAAATCATTGATTAGCACATAATACCGTTTTGGACCGTTACAATAAAATCCTAACTCCCATTTTGTTCCAATCAAGTTACAATAAAATCCTAACTCCCTATTTAAACAAAAATATTAACTAGACTTTTAGAATAAAACAAATTCTTATAAACCTATCTATTTTAGTAGAACTCCTAATCAAAATAAATATACATGAAATTATAAAAGACTAATTAAGGCATTGAACTTTTATAAGCTTCCAGGACTTCACACTGTACATATTTCATCTTTGAGTCTTTTGAACGAGAAAGATGAGGCGTTTCTACCAATATATTTACAACGAACTTCCACTAATTTCACTTTGTACCTCCAATATCATTCTATTTTACCATGCCATCTTCACTGATCCATTAGATAAATTATATCCGTGGACATGACTTGGGGACAAATTTATAACTAGTTTACTCGATGCATATTACCGGTGATTTTCTTGAAATTACATTAGCCTAGGCAAGTTCTCTATCGATATACCAAATGCAGTGTAGCTTTCTTCTTTCCAGATAGCTCAAAGCTTCCTCGGACTTTCTTTATATTGGCTCTCTTCCTCTTCCGTGAGTCATTTCAAAGGCAACCTCGAAATGTCTCTATTTCATCATCTTCAATCCATTTCCGATTCCATTTATTTCATGCATTCCATGTATCCTTTTTACAAGCTTCCCCACTGATTCTATTGCCTTGTCTTTCCAAACATACTCTTGAATAAACTTGCTTTTCTGCTACATGAATGTGATTGCATCCATTGTGCAGCAAGCCTCCAGGCAAAGAATGATTCATCCCCCTCTGTTTATTTATTTCCTGCTTTTCATCTGAATTACAAGCATTTATACATATGAAAATTCTAAATATGTGTTTATCTTTAGCTAAATATAAATTTTATAATGTGCAGATTTCAAATTTAGAAGTTTGGTTCCAACGGCCAAAGGACATTGTGAGAAAGTTGGTGTCTGGAGATCTTGACCTTGGTATTGTTGGTCTGGATACGGTTAGCGAATATGGGCAGGTCAGAATTGGGTGTCCATAATGGCTTAATTTTCTTCATGCAAGATGCAAGTATAATTAGCTTAAGAGAAATCATTTAAAGCTAGCATTCCATTTATTATGTGGAATATTTGATATGAAGATCTCGCACTGTTAACTTGTGCAAATTGTTACATTGATGCTTTACCACACAAATTGAATCAACAGAGTAAAATTTCCTTTCTTCAATTCTGAATATCATGCCTAAAATCTGACCTAGCCCTTCTGATTTCATGTGAGTTCTTTTGAAATCATGTATTATAGTGCTGATGAGAATCTTTTTAGCGAAGTATTATTGCCGTAGAATGCTCCTTGCTTGTGTCTCTTGGCATAGTCACATAGGTAGATGGTACATAGATTTAATGCATGTTTAGTAGGCCGAGTACTTACAATCATGTATCACCATTTTAAATTGGTAAACAAATTTATCATTTATGGATGTTTAATAGGCCGAGCACTTACAATTGAAAATGGTGATTATGCGATTGGAACTGTTGAGTTGGTTTTTGTTATTATGTTAACTGCTCACATAGGCTGGAGTGTGATGTACATGAAGGAAGGAAAATTTCTTACAGGGTTAGCATTGTAGGAGCAAACATGGAATCTTCTTTTAAGAGAAAGTCAATCAGGTTTATCAAAAAATAAGTGGTTCTTTACGAGAGTACCAAACAAGGGCCCATTACAAGGTAGGAATTTTTTTGCAGTGTATAGTTTGAATTTTACAATATTGGAGGAGATGCATTGCCTCCTCAATCTGTTCTTTACGAGAATACCAAAATATGGCCCGATTACAAGGTAAGACATTTTAATGAAGTGTACATTTTGAATGTTTTCAACATTGGAGGAGATTCATTGCCTCCTTCGATGATAACATCACAAATCTCTTGAGCATGTCATTTTTGATTTTATAAACTGAAAACATGATCTATTGATACAAGTAAAATAGAAATAATTATGAATATCTGAATAAATCTACTTTTCTTTTACTTCTTTTTTTCTTCTTTCAAAATAATAGTGCCTACATAAATTTCTGTTCAAGGTTCTTCATAATTTCCAACGGTTTTCGAGGAATGTGAAGAGTTACTTTCTATGCATATAACACTACATGTTAGTATTCATTACGTGTTCCATTATTTCCCAGTTTGGATGGAAAAAATTGCCCATGACTGTATTTTCAAATTTATGAGAGGATTGGCCCTTCTAGTCTTAATCATTACTATTTCTTTGTTTCTTTTCATTATGTTGTTCTATCTGGAGTTCTTATCAATTATTTTGGAAACTTGATATCTATACTTTCATATCCTAAGAGATCCATATAGAATGTTGCCGTATGTTGAAGGATTCTTGTAATTAATATGAAAAGAACATTATATGCCTCCAGTTGGTGTTGTTGGCTGCACATTCTCAAAGATTAATTATGTGCTGATTAGGTAGTAAGCTATTTGTTCTTCAAGTTCTCTCCTCTTATCTTTTAATAAGAACATATTCTACAAGGCAGAAAGATGAAACTTTTCTGGTCAAAATGAGACTTTTCTCCCGCCGTTCAGTCGTGCAAAATGTCTACAATACCCTTTTATTAAAATGACCTCTAGTTAAATCCGGGCAAAATTAACGAATATACATTGGCGAGGAAGACTAGTGTCTTAATTGACTAGAACTCTCATCAATTTTACCTTGTTTGACGAGAATGCTTAAATGGTTCGTGCGAAAGGGAAGAGGGAGAATCTTGTAACACTTTTGAAGAGAAATGGGTACACTTTTGAAAAATTGACAAAAAATTTGAAAAATGGACATTAATTCGAAAAAAGAAGTAGTGGACACATTTCACTCTCTCTCTCTGATCTTCCCATCTATTTTCCTCAAGAAAGATTGAGAGAAACTTGGAATCTTAATGTTAAGTTGTATGCATATGCTGCTATGAATTATAGTGATGCAGAATCGAAAGCAAGCACAAATTTTTTTTTTTTTTACTTTTCCGGGATATTTTGTAAGTATGCGTTTGTCAATCGTCACGATAGTGGTTCTGTATTATTAAAATTAATAACCTTGTCTTTTCGTTGTATAATATTTTTGTTTTTGTCCGTGTCGATATTTTCTAATTATGTCTTCATCACATTGTGTATTATTGAAATTAATAACTTGTCTTTTCATTGTATAGTATTTTCGTTTTTGTATCAGTTGCAAACAGATCCGAACAAGTTTAGTTATTCTAATTCATTTTCTTTGTGCCCTTTCAAATGAGTAAAACAAAAATAACTAACTAGAAATATAAGGCTGTTCTTTTTATTTATTTTTATATGTAAAGAAAAAGGAATAGATGATGTCACAGCAGTTGATGCTCGTGATTTTGTTGGATCTAGGATGATACTTTTGTTTTCTTTATTTGGATCATTAACTTGTGGGATTCTTATGTTAGGTTCTAATTATTTAAATTTGTCTAACAGGGTATCGAAGATCTCATCCTTGTCCATGAAGCTCTTGACTATGGAGACTGTCGTTTATCCGTAGCGGTAAGTCATTTTCTATATAATTAACAAAGATACATATTACACATCTTTTTCTCATGAAAACTATGATGTATTCTTTCGGCTAGATACCCAAGTATGGCATTTTTGAGAATATAAATTCTTTACAAGAGCTAGCACAAATGCCGCAGTGGACACCTGAGAGACCTCTGCGGGTTGCAACTGGCTTCACATATGTATGAATCTTTGTTCTTTTTTTCTTTTCTTCTCTTATATTTGTTCTAATTGACAGAGTTTCCACATACATTAAATATTGCATTTCTATTTACAGCTAGGTCCAAAGTTTATGAAAGAAAATGGATTGAAAAATGTCACTTTTTCAAGCGCTTATGGAGCTCTGGAGGCAGTTCCTGCAGTAAGAATTAGACAGTTGACATGGATATACTTGTCAGCCTTGCAAATCTTCTGTTTTGTATATATATTCCAATATACAGCTTACAAATAAAAAAGAAGAGCCCATCCATATATACGAGGTAATGGCAAATTTTTAAGCAAATATAAAGGGCTGAATAAGTGCTTACAATTACTCTACTCACGCTAACATCCCCCCTCAACTTGGAGAGTGAGCCGTGGAATTCTTTGTTGGATACAGCTTTAGTAAGTACGTCGGTCAACTGGTCTTTGGACTTTAGAAAAGGAAACTGAATAATTTTAACTTCGAGATTCTCCTTGATAAAGTGTCGATCTACTTCCACATGTTTGGTATGATCATATTGAACAGGATTATGAGAAATGGCAATAGCGGCCTTGTTGTCATAGAAAAGATTCATCTTCGAGGTGATGTTAACTCCAAGTTCAGTCAACAACTTCTGAAGCCATAGAAGTTTACACAATCCCTTAGCCATTCCACGGAACTCAGCTTCAGCAGTTGACAATGCCACTACATTTTGTTTCTTACTCTTCCAGGTAACAAGATTTCCGCGACAAACATGAAGTAGCCTAAACTAGACTTTCTGTCTTTGATATCCCCTGCCCAATTTGTATCTGTGAAGCCATCAATCCGTAGATGTTTATTCTTTGTGAACATAAGTCTTTTTCCAGGANTGTTTATTCTTTGTGAACATAAGTCTTTTTCCAGGAGAGGACTTCAAGTACCGAAGTATTCGGATCACATCATCTGTATAATTCTCACTCGGGTTATGCATATATTGACTTACGACACACAGCATAGGCAATATTTGGGTGTGTATGTGAGAAATAGATAAGCTTCCCAACTAGCCTTTGGTACCTTCCTTTATCCGTTGGTACTTGGTTAAGATTTTCACTGAGTCTGTAGTTTTGAATGAAAGGAGTATATATTTGCTTACATTCCAACATTCTTACCTCAAATAACAAATCTAATATATACTTTCGTTGTGAAAGAAATATAAGTTGAAATATATATGTTATTATTCTTAGTTACTAACTTGTAGACTTTGTAATTTGTTAGGGACTAAGAGTGTAAATATCCTTTTTCAATTTGTGTATTTACCTTTGCAATAGATGAATAAAATTAGATTTTCACTTCCAAATCGACTTTGTGAACATAAGTCTTTTTCCAGGAAAGGACTTCAAGTACCGAAGTATTCAGATCACAGCATCTGTATAATTCTCACTCGGGTTATGCATATATTGACTTACGACACACAGCATAGGCAATATTTGGATGTGTATGTGAGAAATAGATAAGCTTCCCAACTAGCCTTTGGTACCTTCCTTTATCCGTTGGTACTTGGTTAGGATTTTCACTGAGTCTGTAGTTTTGAATGAAAGGAGTATATATTTGCTTACATTCCAACATTCTTACCTCAAATAACAAATCTAATATATACTTTCATTGTGAAAGAAATATACCTCGTTGTGACCTAGAAACTTCGATTCCCAAGAAATACTTGAGTTCTCCTAGGTTTTTCATCTTAAATTTAGTTGCCAACAGTTTTTGAAGTCGAGGTATTTCTTCAACGTCGTCTCCTACAATGATCATATCATCCACATAGACTATCAAAGTTGTTACCTTGCCCAGTCGGTGTTTTAAGAAGAGTGTGATCTGAGTTACTTTGTTTGTAGCCGTACTTCTTCATTGCTAGATTGAATCTCCCAAACCAGGCTTGAGGTGATTGCTTCAATCCATATAGTGCTTTCTCCAATTTACAAGCGACATTGATCAATGATGCCTTATATTCTGGTGGGACATCCATATACACCTCCTCCTCAAGATCTCCATGGAGAAATATGTTCTTTATATCGAACTATTGCAATGGCCAATCCAGATTTGCTGCAAGAGACAATATGACCCTAATTTTATTCAATTTTACCACTGGTGAGAATGTTTCCTGGTAATCTACTCCATACGTTTGCACATATCCTTTTACCACAAATCGTGCTTGGTATTGTTCAAAATTGACCCATCTGCTTTATGTTTGATAGAGAAGACCTATTTGCATCCCACAATTTTCTTCCCTCCTGGGAGTGGGATTAGAGTCCATGCTTTGATCTTCAGTAATGCCTCCATTTCTTCTTGTATGGCCTGAGTCCACTTTGGATCTGGTAGAGCTTCTTGAATGCTAGTCGGAACATGGCATGAGGACGTTTCGTGTGAGAATGTCTAGAGGGGCTCAGGTAACTTCTTGGTGGAGATATAATTGCAATTAGGTATTTTGTACTCCGTTCATCCTCTTCAGGAGAGTATCTATTTGGTGGTTTGCCCCGATTGTGCCTGAAAGGTAAAGCATACCTAGCAGAAGTATTTGTATCGTAGTATGTAGATGAGTGGTAGGAATTGTTACCTCAGGAATATTCTCGGGAGATGGATCTACATGTACTAAAGAGTTAGGGGGTTCAGATTCAGCTGATTGAGCCTCAAAGGTTGACAGTACGTCAGCTAGAGAGCTACTTGGTTCAACAGTTTCTGCATTTACACCTTCACTGTCCTGAGTAGCAACCCAATCCAGGGCTAACGATCTTGGCTCTTCACTTCTTGTCTCCCTTTGAAGATGAGATGCGGTTGTCGAGGATGGGAAACATGTATCCGATTCCAGAAATGTAACATCCATAGTGATGTAAGTTTGCTCAGTAGAGGGGTCATNGTTATTATTCTTAGTTACTAACTTGTAGACTTTGTAATTTGTTAGGGACTAAGAGTGTAAATATCCTTTTTCAATTTGTGTATTTACCTTTGCAATAGATGAATAAAATTAGATTTTCACTTCCAAATCGACTATATACCTCGTTGTGACCTAGAAACTTCGATTCCCAAGAAATACTTGAGTTCTCCTAGGCTTTTCATCTTAAATTTAGTTGCCAACTGTTTTTGAAGTCGAGGTATTTCTTCAACGTCGTCTCCTACAATGATCATATCATCCACATAGACTATCAAAGTTGTTACCTTGCCCAGTCAGTGTTTTAAGAAGAGTGTGATCTGAGTTACTTTGTTTGTAGCTGTACTTCTTCATTGCTAGATTGAATCTCCCAAACCAGGCTTGAGGTGATTGCTTCAATCCATATAGTGCTTTCTCCAATTTACAAGCGACATTGATAGTCGATGATGCCTTATATCCTGGTGGGACATCCATATACACCTCCTCCTCAAGATCTCCATGGAGAAATATGTTCTTTATATCGAACTATTGCAATGGCAATCCAGATTTGCTGCAAGAGACAATATGACCCTAATTATATTCAATTTTACCACTGGTGAGAATGTTTCCTGGTAATCTACTCCATACGTTTGCATATATCCTTTTGCCACAAATCATGCTTTGTATTGTTCAAAATTGACCCATCTGCTTTATGTTTGATAGAGAAGACCTATTTGCATCCCACCATTTCTTCCCTCCTGGGAGTGGGATTAGAGTCCATGTTTTGATCTTCAGTAATGCCTCCATTTCTTCTTGTATGGCCTGAGTCCACTTTGGATCTGGTAGAGCTTCTTGAATGCTAGTTGGAACATGGCATGAGGACGTTTCGTGTGCAAATGTCTAGAGGGGCTCAGGTAGCTTCTTGGTAGAGATATAATTGCAATTAGGTATTTTGTACTCCGTTCATCCTCTTCAGGAGAGTATCTATTTGGTGGTTTGCCCCGATTGTGCCTGAAAGGTAAAGTATACCTAGCAGAAGTATTTGTATCGTAGTATGTAGATGAGTGGTAGGAATTGTTACCTCAGGAATATTCTCGGGAGATGGATATACATGTACTAAAGAGTTAGGGGGTTCAGATTCAGCCGATTGAGCCTCAAAGGTTGACAGTACGTCAGCTAGAGAGCTACTTGGTTCAACAGTTTCTGCATTTACACCTTTACTGTCCTGAGTAGCAACCCAATCCAGGGCTAACGATCTTGGCTCTTCACTTCTTGTCTCCCCTTGAAGATGAGATGCGGTTGTCGAGGATGGGAAACATGTATCCGATTCCAGAAATGTAACATCCATAGTGATTTAAGTTTGCTCAGTAGAGGGGTCATAGCAGCGGTACCCTTTCTGATGGACACCATATCCGAAGGAAAGACAGCGAAGCGCACATTGGTCGAGCTTAGTGTAGTGATTCTTATGCAAATGGATAAATGCTACACATCCGAAAATCTTAGCTGGAAGCATTGAGGCCGTCGGTAGAAAGATTCGGGAGAAGAGAGCCGTAGAGGAGTCTTAAAATTTAAGACTTTTGACGGCATTCGATTCGGCAAGTACATGCTATGTAGACAACATCTAACCAATGGCGCTGGGGTACATGAGCACCAAGTAGTAGAGCTCGGGCGGTCTCAAGAATATGTCGGTTTTTGCGCTTAGCAACCCCATTCTGTTGGGGTCTGGGGGCAAGAGGTGTCATGGAGGAGACCGTGTTTTCAAAAATAGTCTTGGAAGTGATGATTGACATATTCGACACCATTATCCAAGCAAAGAATTTGACTCTGTGCCTAGAGCTGAGTGCGAACCATATTATGAAATGCTTGGAATGCACCGAGTACCTCATTTTTGTACTTCAACAGATATAACCATGTCATACGTATATAATCATCGACAAATTTCACAAACCACCGTATACCAGATCCAACAGAGATAGGCGATGGACTCTATACATCAGAATGAATTAAAGTAAATGGAGTATTACATTTATTCATGCCCAAAGGATAGCTAGTTCAGTGACTCTTGGCCAAAATGCAAGTGTCACATTTCAAGTCAGAAATCGAAAATTGAGAAAATAAATCAGGAAATCAATGCTTCAAGTAGCTAAAGGATGGATAACCCAATCAGCGATGCCACAACTAAATCTGTTGTTCCTTGGGTCCAAGTGAACGGTGCATGTGATGTGCTCGGCCTGCACTGAAATCATCCATGTAGTATAACCCCCCTCTCTTAGTACTACTTCTAATTATCTTTTTAGTGAGAATATCCTGGATAAGACAAAAATTGGATAAATCAGTACAACACAATTTTTTCCAGCTGTAACTTGGCTAACAGATAATAACTTGTGAGAGAGTGATGGAACGAGTAATGTATTAAATAATTGCAGAGAAGTGGACAGAGTTACAGAATCAGCCCCTGTTACTGCGGAGATTATGCCATTTGCATTAGCAATCATGGTTCTTTTTGGTGATAATGTCGTCGTAAAATTTGCTTCATCGAATGTCATGTGATATGTGGCACTGGAATCAAGGAACCAAGAATCTCTGTCATTATCTCTAGGGGCACTGAAAGATGCAAAAACACTACCTCAATCTGCTTGGGTGGACTCTGGTGGAATGAGATAGAGATGCAAATCTGTGGTAGCAATTGCTGCTGTACCCACTCCTCAGCATCATATTCTTTCCTTGAACCAGCACCATCATCCCATTTTTTTGCTTGGAGATCATGCCATTAGTTAGGGTACCCTTGAAGTTGAAAGCAGTTGTCACAGTTTTTTATTCTTGTTTCCACAATGTGAGCATTTCTGTCCGTCGGAGAGGGGCCGAGTCTTTGAAGGTTTTCCATTGCTTCCACCCGTTTTAGATTGAACAGAGGGGGCAAATTTAATATTCTTGGATGTCAAAACCGCTCCAGGAGTTTCATCAGTATTACCGCCTTTCATCACAGCTTGGCAGATGGTCTAACGGCGAACCAGTGCAAAAGCTTGCTCCACGGTCGGGAAAGGTTGCAGCTGGAGCACATCTTTCCTTATTTGGTCGAGTCTCATCGAGCCCATCCAAAAAAACGTACACCCCTTCTTCCTGGAGTAAAGTATTATATTTTTTAAATCATCAGGACATTTCATAGGATTAGGGCGACGAAAATCGATTTCACACCACAATCCTTGAAGGTCTAGATAGTATTTTTCAAGAGGGCCTCCGGCTTGGCTTAGTCGACTCACACGTCGTCGAAGGTCGTAAACTTGGGAGGTGTCACTCCCATCAAAGTAGGTAGAAGCAGTGGAGTCCCAAACCATTTTTGCAGTTGGAAATTTGATAAAATCCCATATCAATGATGGATCCATGGAGTTGATGAGCCATCCTTTGACCATGGCGTTGTCGGTGCGCCATTTGAAAGGACGGGTCAGTCAGGGATGGTTACGGAGTATCACCATTGATATATCCCAACTTGTCTTTGCTGGAGATATACATCTCGACAACTTGGGACCAAAGTGCATAGCTGGAACCATCTAATTTTATGCTGATCTGAGTAGTAGAAGATTCTGTTGCAGTCGGGTTCTGAGCTTTGTTCAAAGCTTCAGTCAGTTTGGAGGTAAATTCAGTCAAGGAGATGTCGGTATTTGGTGGTTGGTTGCCGGAGGGGATCATGTCTCCGATGGCTGCCATAAGGATGAAGAAAAAACTCGGCTAAAGTGAGAGAAAGACAGGTATCCTGAGATTGTACGGCTCTAATACCATGTCAGTCCTTGCAAATCTTCTGTTTTGTATATATATTCCAATGTACAGCTTACAAATAAATAGGAAGAGCCGTCCATATCTACACGGTAATGCCAGATTTTTAGGCAAATATAAAGGGCAGAATAAGGGTTTACTATTATGGAAGATTTCCTAATTAAGGTTTCCTACAATTACTCTACTCACGCCAACAATACTATGCCTTCCTAGATGATAATGGGCTTGATGTTAACTTGTTTATTTAATTTTTTGCGACCAATCTCCCTTTTCTTTTTCAGTTTTCGTCTTGTTAGCTTGTTGTCTGGGGGATAGGAATGGAATATTAGGGTTGGTGATCTGGATGAGTTTGCATGAAAGTCCTAGTGTCAACTGTCAAGGGCCCACACTTATAAGTTATGGTAGTCTCTTTGTGCAATTTCCCATTTCCCATTGCTAATTATTTGCAACATGACATTCTTATTTTTGATATCTCAGGTCTTGGAGCATGACTTGTCATAAAGCAAGTCGAGGCATATAACTGAAAACAACATTTTTATTTTCTTCCTCTACTAATAAAAACAAAGGAAGTACTAACAGAAACTAAGAATTGTAAAAAAATGCTCGAAAAAGTGAATGGTAAGGTAAAACTGTGTTTGAAAATGAAATTCAATTGCAAGATGACATATCTGGCTATTCTCTTTGGAATAGTATGAGTGAATTAATTGCTTGTTGACTTGCTTCTTTGAAGGTAGGATTTTGTTTAAGAGAAGTAGCAAAATTTGGTTCTACAAGGTTTGTGTAGGAGTGCAAACTAGAAGATTTCAATTTCAGTTGTCCTGGGAATAACATCATTTAGCTAAATAGCTCGAAGGCTTGATCACTATCTTATTTTATTAGATACTAATAATTACATTCTGGAAAGATCCTACCTCGTAATACAACATTTTTAATAGATAATGCCTCGAAATGATAAACAATGTGTCTAGCTGGTAGGAATTATGTATAATGATGAACACTGGCATGAGCTGTGTAATTCTTGGGTTTATAATTACAGTGAAACGTCGATAAATTAATAATCTCGCTTAAATAATAAAATTCTTCGGTCCTGACTTAGGCTAGTGTACTAAACACTAATAATCCCGCTAATTGTATAAGATAATAATTTTTTTTTGAGATTTTTTAAGACCCAACAAATATATAAAAAAATAACTGCTTAAATTCATAAAAGTTCATACTATTAACAAATTAACAAACTTTTAATTTGACAACATTTTTTTTTTCAATTCGCCTATTTTTCAAAATATATATCTAAAGTTTTTTGCTTTTTCTTTGCACTCGAACCAAACTCAACTTTATTCCTAATTTTTTGCAATGCAAATACTACATTTGTCATATTTTTTAAAATTTGTACAAAGTAATTATTTAAGGTTACGACTGCTAGAAATACTTCTTTTGAAGAAACAATTGGTAAAATACGACTATCATCTAGACATGATCAGTATTGATAAGTGTATTGAGTACCTCTTGAATAATATCTTCATCAGTAAGAGATTCCATCATTGCTTATTTTTCCTAAGATAGTTTAGAAGGTGTTCAACGTCCATTACATTTCTATAGTGTAAACCAGAATTACTTGAACAAATAATCTTCCAGGATGTTAAACTTTGAAGCCGATGCATGTACATTAATGTTTCCTCTTTAATGTATGTATCTGTGTACGTTTTTTGTTTGCTCACATATTAAATTTTGAATTTCACTATATTCATTTTTTTTTTTATAATTTCTTACGAGTATTATAGTAAAAATAATACAATGTTTTTTTGGTGAATGTGTGGTTAAAAAATAATGTTAAAGTTTTTGATTTACGTGTAAAATTATTTTATTGAAGAATGTGTGGTTGAAAATAAGTTTATGATAAAATGGGGCTCAAACAAGGGCTTAGTATTGGTGCCACGGAGGATGTCCTTAATTATCATTTTTCTTGGATTATTGCCTAACCTTCCATTTTTGGAAAGGAGGCAGATGAAGTTCAAGGAGAAAACAAAACAATATTCGTATAAAAAGATAAACTAGCATCTGGAAAGCCTGGATTCATGAGTTATTGTGCTGTGAATAAAAGAGTAAGATGTTGGAAATATTGCCCATGCACTACAACTTAGCTCTTATTTATGGCAATTGCATTCATAAAATAGTGTGGAACTGAAGGCACAATGAGTTCCTTATTTTTTTGGTGGGGAGTTTAAGCTTGGGCCAAGGCTTTGGGGGAGATTAACAAACTCTTTTCTAAACATTCACAAATCAATTTTTTGTTGAATTTCTGTTAGGTGGTGGTTAAATAACAATTATGAGTGACCTTATCCTATGCATGGGCCTTCTATTTTGTGGGTTGATGCAATTAGTTTTTTTCTATAGATATTGACATTCAAAGTTTTCCAAATCATAGTATCAAATTTCTTTTTGAATTTTTATTTTGTTTTATTTGATGATCTATGGCATTTTACTATATTTCCTTGAGTACTTTCCTTTCACCATGTGGATAGTATTACAGCATCTCTATCTGTAGTACTGTCGTTTCCTTGCCATTTCTTTGCTGACTGCTGACCTTTTTCCATCTTCTAGATGGGGATAGCTGATGCCATTGTGGACCTTGTGAGCAGTGGAACCACATTGAGGGAAAATAATTTGAAGGAAATTGAAGGTGGAGTTATGTTAGAAAGTCAGGTAATTGCTATTCTTGCTGATATTGCAAAGCAAGCAAAATGTAATGGAATTTGAGAATGTGATCTGGAGGCATTCACCAATAATTTTAGAGTTTTTGTCTATGGGATGTCTTTTGACCTTGGTTCATCTTTTAGGCTGTCCTTGTTGCAAGCAGAAAGTCGCTGAACCAACGAAAAGGTGTGCTTGATATAACACATGAAATATTAGAAAGATTGGAGGCACATTTGAGGGCTGTTGATCAGTTCACGGTGCGAGTTATTTGTTTATGTTATGAAATTTTTGTTCCTGTTATTTCTGTACTCACAATTTTCGTGGCAGGTAACTGCCAACATGAGGGGAAGCAGTGCAGAGGAAGTGGCTGAACGAATACTGAGTCAAACATCATTATCTGGGTTGCAGGTGAAATCAACTGATCTCATGCACTTTTTGTTTAAAGAATAAGAAAAAACTCTCAACGCTCCACTGATCTAGAAGAAAGGGATAAGAAAGAAGGGAAATGAAAAGTAAAGCATAACCTATGTATCAAATGGTCTGAATGCTCTCTATGGAGGATTTCTTCTCATTATATAACAAGATATGTCCCTAATTACAGCCTATAATCATGTGGAAATTAAATCAGAATCTCTCTATACAAAGTAGCCTATAATCACTTGGGGAATCATTTTATACAAGGTAAATACAATTATTGTCTATCATATTACAATTGTATCTACAATATATGTTACACTATGCAACCGACCCCACAGAGACAAATGGGATTATTGATTGCTTTCACATTTACTGCAAGCACATCATTTATTAATAATATCTACATCCTCTATCAATTATAGGAGCTCCTTTACATGATTCATCTTTACACATGCAGGGGCCCACTGTAACTCCAGTTTTTTGTAAACGTGATGGAAGGGTGACTGCTGACTATTATGCCATAGTTATTTGTGTACCAAAGAAAGCATTGTACAAGTCTGTTCAGCAGCTTAGAGCGGTGAGGAACTTATCTTTATATATTACATTGAAGTGCTCCCGTATCCATGTGTACATTTGTCTCAAATAGGACAGTCTTGAATCTTCAATAAAACAAGTACTGTCTGGGGGACTGGATATTGCAAATTATCACACAATCTGCGCAGTAGTCCTTTTTTATTTATCGACAGTATTTCCAGTATCAGTCCCCTTTCTCATGTGTTTCCAAGCAGGTAATTAAATTCTCTGGCGTGCGGAACCTTAAATCATTGCGTAAGATATTTGTCTTTAATATACTCCTGCAATTGTCTTGTCCTGTGTGATCTTTTTTCTTCCATGCTTTCTCTCATCTCCTCTCTCCCTTCCTCTCTCTATCTGTCTATTCATAAGTTTATTTTTTTCTTTCTTCCCGTGTTAAGTTTTATATGAAGGCTTTTTTTCTGGTTGCTTTTGCATATGGTCCCTCTTCGATTTAGCTCAACTGAAGTCTCTCTCCCCCTCCCTCCCGTCCGGGGCTTTTTGATTTGTCAACATTATGACCGTATGTTATCTGTTGCAGATTGGAGGCAGCGGTGTTCTGATATCTCCTCTGACCTACTTCTTCGATGAAGAAACACCAAGATGGAGCCAGCTTCTTTTAAACCTTGGGCTTTAGTCATCATATTGACTAGGTACTGCAGTTAATTTTCCACATCCTTCAGCATAGTCCAAGGACATGGGATGGAATCGGGGGAGAGTCGAAGAAAAAAGTTAAATAGAAATTGAGATTAAACAAATTCGTCTTGATCTTTAAGTTTCGTGAAGATTTCCAATTTGTTTTAGATTTTATACAACAGAATTTGTCCTCTCTTCTTGTACAACTTGTAATGGTTGTATTACGGGCAATTTTTATGCTAGTCGCAACTGTGAGATCACATAGTGGGGATTATTCTCATCTTGCAATGTTTCCATGTAAGTTCGACTTTTTCTGCTATTATCTAACTTATGTGATCTTGGTTGAGGATCTCTTGTCATGTTGTAATGGTTTTTATGAATTGTTACGTGTTTGCAGAAGAAAGTAACCCAAGATCCTATGGTTAATACTCTTAAGAGTCGTCAAAATATGTAGATTTCTAATATATATTATCAGTGACATAGTTGATTTTGAGTATGAATTGTCATGAATTTATAACATTGGAGGGGATTTTATTCATTCTTGATGGACACGAAACCATTGCACACTCGATATAGGGATGGATTATACACTATCTCATCATAAAGAAAAAGTTTAAAACTCAAATTACTACATGAGCAAAGTTTCTGTGTGAGTTAACGATAGGTATGGTAGACATGTATATGACCAATAGAAAGGTTATCATGTGTACCTAAACGAAGCTAGTTTCAAGATTTTGGCTCGGTATAACTTTAAATGCAAGTGTTGCAATATTATGACCTTATTTGGTGGAGTGACAAGCTCAATAAAATCAAGTATTTGTTTTGAAAGTCATGCTATAAGTACAGGATTTTTTCAGAGATTTTGTACAGGAAGTCTTTCGGAACAAAATCTGTTAAAAAAATCCTGTGCTTGAATTATTCTTGTTTCGATATGACAGATTGGGACAATGAACCATAATTATTGCCACCTCGAGTGAAAATTTTGAATCGAAAACAGTAATTTTTTTTTCTTTTCCATCTTCTGGAAGCGAACATCAAATTTTGAATGGAGGAGGGAGTATAAATGAGAATCTATGAGGACACGGGTCTAAAATCCTAAAAACACGATCCACCTAAGTTATGAGACTTTATTTGCATCTTTGCATGCTCTACCTCAGACTTCGTGTCTGAGACACTTTATACATACACAGCGCATTCTGTAATCCCAGTTAAGGCCTGGCCATTCATACTATTCATTCAACAAAGTAGTTATTAACTGTCGAAGCAAAAAAATTTCTTCACAAAAGTGTAAGTGACACTGATCAACTTACTGGAGCCGATAAACTGTACATAATAAAGCAGTAGGCATCTTCTGCACCCATGTATGATGTACCCTGCTACTTCTGAATTATACAACTAGGCCAACCATCTCCTCACCAAGGCTTAAATTCAACACTGCACTTCCATTAGCTTCACTAGGTCATCAATTCGGGTTCGTTCGATAAATTTGACAGGAAAAAAGGTCCAAGTAATTTCTTATGACAAGAGTTGAACTGCAGCAATTGCTGGGATTTTCTCTCGCAGTTTCTGAGTCACTGCTATTCGAACAGTCATCACACCTGCTGCAGGACCTGATATCCGAACTTTCACTATTGGCTCCTCAATTGTCACAAGCTCTAAAGTTCCACCAGCTGCCCCAACAAGGTAAGGTCTTAGTTCTTCAAGTACCTAAAACAGCCAAGCAAATTTTTGAGGCAAGAACCTTCATAGAAAAAGAACGAGAAATTGTAGATATTGAAACTTCAACAAACTGAACCAGTACTACTGTTAACGTAAATGCCTTTACTCGTGCATGTTAAATAAATAGA